ACCTATGAAAAAAAGGGAATCCCGATGAATCGAAAACCCGAAAGGGCGGTTCAGGCAAAAATTAGGGATAAAACAAAAAATATGTACACCCGGCAAGTTGAAAACCCAAAAGGGTGACTTGGGCAAAAAAGGGTTTCCCGGTGGACTGAAAACCCGAAAGGGCGGTCCAGGAAAAAGTTAGGGAATTAAAGCGTATGACTATGTCTTGTCGGATCACTTTAAAGACAATCTCTTCACTGACAAACTTGGAACTTCTGATCAATCCAATCATCTTCGGACGAAGCAACGGGTGGACAAGATATTCAGAGATACAAAGGCTATAGCGGAATGGGAACCCCATGGGATTTTTACACACATAGCTATCTTTATTTGTATAAAATTTTCTTACTTTTATGACAACATCCTCTTACTAGGATGTTTGTCTCCTTTGTACAAAACACTTACTCAAAGTAAATACAAAGATACCTCTTTAAAGTGCAGAAAACCATTTGCCTTTTTCTTTTTACACTTGTGTTTTTATTTGCAAAAACGTCCAAGGATTCATTGATGAACATATGCATTTGAACATAATTACTGTTTACAAATAAACAGGATGGAAAAGAACAATTACTGACATACTGAAAGGATAGGAAAACGTCTTTAGGCTATTCCATGAGCAATCCCTATAGTACATCATTTAGATCCCCAACGGAGCTAAAACCTTGAAATACGTATCCCAGCGGAGCTAAATTTCAAACCCTTAACCCACCATCAGAGTTAAAACTTCAAACTCCCAATCCCCAGCGGAGCCAAAACTTTGAGTTACAGATCCCCAGCGGAGCTGAAACCTTCATCCCCAGTCGAGTCAAGACTTCTAATCCCCAGCGGAAACCATCCAATTCCTCCAGCAAGTTATCTTGAAGCCTGGAAATCAATCAGATAACAGTTAACTTTTGTCTCTTCCCCAACCTAGGATAACTCCCAGTAGAGTGGCAGACAACCAAACTCATGAACTTACTCCTCAACAGTAAGCCTTCTTCCCCACAGATTTTTTACTCCCCAGCATGAAGTCGCCAAAGTTTTCATGGCTCCCCAACAGAATAAAGATTCTCATTTTCCCCAGTGAAGTCGCCGAAGCTTACATTGCCCTTCAACAGATTGAATGTTCTCATATTTAATTCCCTGCAGAAGTCATCAAAGTCTCCTTTATTCTCCAGCAGATCAAGGATGTCCTTTGTGTAACCCCAGTAGAAGTCTTTAAAGTTATCTGGATTCTCCAAGCAGATTTCTCCAGCAGTTTGGTATTACTCTCACAGCAGATTTTGTCAATACTCCAACTTCAAGACAAAAAGGATCCTCACATCCCCACGGAAGTTGTTAAGGATTTTTAATCTCTAACAGTCGCCCAGGATTTTCTTATCCTCAACAGTCAAGGATTTATTTTCCTCGGCAGCAGTCAAGGATTTCATTATCCCCAGCCGTCAAGAATTTATTTTCCTCCGCAAGACAGCAAATCAGCTTACATACGCATACATTACATTCATATATCATAAACATTGATAAATCACATATATTGCATCATACATTTCATGCAACATAACTTTGTGTTTCAACTAACATTTTACCCTTTTCAGGATAAGATTAACAAGCTACCATTAACAGTATACAGTCATGATACAGTACAGATACACTCCAAACGCGGAAGTCATCCTGATACTTATTCAGATTTCAACTATCAGATACAAATTAGATACGCTCCAGACATGGAAGCCATTCTATTTCTCATTCAGATTCAACTATCAATTTCAAGTTCAGATACACTCCAGACACGGAAGTCATTTTGTCACTTATTCTGATACAGTACAAATACACTCCAGACACAAAAGTCATTCTGCTACTCATTCAGATCTCAAACTTCAGATACAGTCCAGATACGCTCCAGACACGGTTGCCATTCTGTCACCTATTCTGATTTTCCCAGCTCATAGACGCTCCAGACACAGATGCTATTCTATTTCTTACTCAAAAACAAAGTTCAGATACAGCTTGGATACGCTCCAGATACGAATGCTATTCCTTTGCTCATTCAGATTCAGTCCCCATATACAGTACAGATACGTTCCAGATACAGACACCATTCTGGTACTCATTCTTTTGACTTACAATTCAACAAACATTCTTGGATGGCATCTTTAAGCCCATCTCCAACAAGACTCCATCATCTCTCCAAATGGCATCTTTAAGCCAATTTCCTCAACTACATTTTGACGAGTGCAAATTTACGGGCACTCTAGTGTCCAATCATCTTTTACCTTCGAGTCACGAACGGCAAACTCGCCAATCTAACTCTTCAGGTTCAAGAAGATTGAACAGGGGCAATAAACCCACGATTTTTCTGGATGAAGACCCTTGTAAATCTCAACCCAATATTCTCGGCTACACAAGAACCTAATTGGATGTTATCGAATCTCGTCTAGATGGCACCCCAATAAAATATTGTTACAATGGTTTGTCAGTGTGTATGCATAGGTTAGAGGTTGAAGGTGAAGAGCAATTGCAGAATTTTTTTATGGTATTATCAAGTTGGAATGATGCATGAAAAATGTATTTATAGTTATGGAAATATTAGGACAAAAGAGGAAAATTCAGAATTAAAAGAAAATAGAAAATTTGTCTCTTGAAACAGTATGAGTCGGTATGTAACTTGGATGAGCCGACTCATAGTGTTAATTTTAATAGCATGAGTCAGACTTAAATGGCCAATGAGTTGGTCTGGCCACAATAGAAGAAAATAACTTATCCAGGACATTAGATGAGCCGACCTAAAATGACTTATGAGCCAGTCTGGCCAAGACAAAAGAAAACAACTTATTCGGGACAGTACATGAGTCGGCCTGTAATGACTTATGAGCCAGCCTGTAAATGCATTTTTAGTGCAAAAAATGATTTTTTGAATCTGGTCAGTTTTGACTATGTTTCCAATGATTCCTAAGACCTCTAAATGCGTAGGGTGTCATCCAAACTCAGATACCTCACAATATACAGAAATTCTATATTCTTGTAGTTTTGACATAATATAAAACACATCTTGATGAAAGTTGCACTCACAACAATCAATCTAATCAATGCATCAAAAGATAAATGAATGACATACAAAGAACACAAACACTAAAACCTTAAAAGACTCCCAAAACCCTAATCCTTATTTTGCACCCACAATTTCTTCAACGTGAATGCTTGCTATTTTAGGTCATAGCAAGTCCTTATTTATAAATTCTTGCAGAAAGGGCTTGGACTCTTCAAATCAAATTCATTATTCACTTTTTAAATCAGCTGCAAGATCTTCACATAAAAATAGGAACAAATCTTTTATAGTTTCCTAAAAAGTCTCAAAGATCCTTTTTAATGAAACAAATCAAATTTACACTTTATTCCTAAATAATCTTCTTGACTTGCGCATAATGATGAGGTATATATATCCAAAAGGATCTTATCAAATCAAATCAAATTTGTCAAGAGATATAAAATAACACGCTTGTTCTACACAGACCAAGATGTCACGACATCTGTCTGAAACACATAGCAGTAAAACTGTTATGACAGTTGATGAAGATGTTGCAACATCTTGTTCAACATCAGTATAGAACCTTGTTTTACCAAAATTTAGTCAATCATAAAACCATGGAACTATCATCCTTGACTGGTTTCTCTAATCATATGACTGGTAATAAATTTCTTTCATCTCAATTATCTTATTTTGATTCTTTGCCTCCGGTCTATGTGGCGGATGACTCTAAAATCAAATTTCAAAGTCTTGGTCAGACACACCCAGTTCCAAACTTGTCTTTAGATTTTCTCCTCTACATTCTTAGTTTTCCTTTTAATATAATATATGTTAACAAACCCACTCGTACTCTTGATTGTTTAGTCTTTTTTATTGATAATTTTGTTTATATCCAAAATCAACGTACAAGACAGAAGATAGAATATCATCTATCTCCACCACTGATATGTGCTTCTATTATTTCTCAAAGCCTTACTCATTAAAGTTCTCCCAAACACTATTGTTAGCAAAATTAATTTTTATAATCATTTATATATAGTTTAGACTCTAAAATCAAATTTCAAAGTCTTGATCAAGCACACCCACTTCTAAACTTATCTTTAGATTTTGTCCTCTATATTCTTAGTTGTCCTTTTATTCTTAGTTGTCCTTTTAATATAATATATGTTAACAAACTCACTCATACTCTTGATACTCTTGATTATTCAGTCATTTTTATTAATAATTTTGTTTATGTCCAAAATCAACGTACAAGACGATAGAATATCATCTATCTCTATTAGTGATATGCGCTTGAATTGCTTTTCAAAGCCTTACTTTCTCCGCAAGACACTATTGCTAGCAAAATTAATTTTTATAATCATTTATATATAGTACAGATATATTTCAAACCATAAAAAATTAATTTTATCTATAGTAGTGACCGAGTATCTTGTAAGTGTTGTATTTGAATACATTGCCCAATGTTAAAAACATTAAACTTTTACTTAAGTATAAAAACAATTTAAAATTTAGTAAGGAACTGAGATTATTAAAATCTATGGCTTGGTTAGAGACCTCTCTCTTATTCGCCCTTAATTGAAGTCAATGACTAATTACTTAATGGATTAGCTAGAATAATTGGAAGGAGGGAGAGGGCAACAACTACAGAGTGAAAAATTGACAAATTTGCATGTTTCAAAGTTCATTTTAATTTGGGAAGTCTTAAAATCAATAATAAAATATTTAAAATTAGTTGTCAATAACTGACATAAAATTATTTAAAGAAAAAAAATTAGTATAAGAATCATTTGAAGTCATACACAGATACACCAGCACATTAAACGTGATAAACAACATGCTTTTTTCAATTAAAAGTATTACAAACTTGCCAACTAAAAAGTTCAGCAAAAAAAAAGCTTGCAGGTCCGTGAATAGAACAGAATATATAAAATTGAAAGACTAAACCCGAATCTTTTTATAACGAGGCATCACAAACGTTCTGCTGGAAAGCGGTATCGGGATTATTGTGATCAATTTTAGAGTGGTGAGGGAAATCAAATGGCATTTTATCAGCAGAAAGTCCTGCCTCATTGAACACCTTGATCACTTCTGCATATACTACTGCATTTCCATCTACTGTCAGGTGCAATCCATCCCTATAACAGCAAAACAACAATGTTAATGGCCCTTAATATAAGGAGTCGGAATCTCCCATAAATTTCAAAAAGGAGATGGTCGCACGATAAATAGTTAGAAGAAGAAAGCAGTTTATTGCATCATTAACAAGACTCTAAGAAGCTAAACCGTTGCCCTTAACTAAGAACCGGATCATACTATAACCAGATTTAGTCAAGCTAAATCCATTATGCTTTTTGGGTTTAATCAACAAGAAAAGGTGGTTAAACTTATGTCAGGTATTTTATCTAGTCCAGATTGCAACAAACCTTAAAAATTTCTTTTGCCAGCCATCTGTTTCTTGCATTTTGGACCATAAATCGATATACACCACACCCATTTCCTTGGCTGTCTCAACACATGCTTTTGCATATTGACCAGTAACTTCATTTGTCCTTTCAGACAATTTACGAGCATTATCACCATATAAAGATCTGCAAAACACAACAAAAACATAATCTCTATTTAGCAGATTGGCAAATCATATACCTAAAAAATTACAGCAAATACTAACCGCTGCAAGACAGTTTAAAAACGGTAGTTTTAACAAATTGGTAACCACAAATTTTGTTACTAGAAGTTGACAGGAACAAAACAACAGCAGACTGTGACGGTGCAAAGTATAACAAAAGAGGCCATGTCAGATATTTTAGATGTAAATATGACAGGAAGATAAATTGCCAAATGGTGGTTCAGAAAATACGAATATGGATGCAATGGTGGTGCTAATACAGTAATAACAATGGTGGCAGTAAATTTAGCAAACCACACAAAACAGGTAGAAAACATAGTTACCTTCAATGGGGAGGCAATAGGGAGGCCAGACAATGTTCATAAACAAATGCAGAATAAGAATGCCGAATTTATAGAGAGAGGAGGAATTTATCTTACATAGCAAATTCTCGACGCCCTTCCTCACAAATTGGAGGTGGAGTAATAATCACAATAAGCATAGTTGGTGAGCTTGACTGAAATCACATTTTAATTTTCTATCAATAACTGATAATATAATTGGCATTTATGATATAAGAGTTTAATTCATTCTAAGCACAGATTTTCTAGTACAGGCAGGAAAGATTCAATCAACACAACAGGCTATTGCTTAATCAACCAACAATGCTAGAAAAAAAATCATGTACCTACCTACCTACCTTTGAAAGCACGAGTAACAACATAGAAAGTCCTCAGAAATTGGAATCATTTCACTAATTACACGAAAATGCCGCAAAATCTTTAAAATTTAGAGTAACAATAGGCGGAATCTAGAAAATTGGACCTTCAAGTGGTTGACAATTTTTTGGAGGTTTTGTTTGAATTCTGGAAGAGGTACATGTTGTCTTTCACTGGTCCTTCCAGCTAAAGCGGCATCGTTAGCACCGAAGAAAATAGTGGTAGCAATAGGCGGTTTACGTGACTCCTAAAAATGAAGGGAAGATTAATAACCGCCGCAAAAGAATAGAAAACGGTATTAGATTTGGGTAACATACGAGAGGGAAAATGTGATTGAGTAAGAACAAAGCCCATCTAGTGTTGTAACCGCCATAGCCACGAACAAGTACATCAGCCTGAAAATTAAATTGATTTGTTAGTTAGATTGCAGGAAAATAAGGAAAATGGATGTGATCTGAGAGAGAAGGCTTAACTTGCGAGAATAGTGATTGGCGAGTGAAGAACCCCAGCCATTTTGGAACGATTGCTCCGTTATTGAATCTCCGAACAACACTATATTTTCTCTCATTCTCGCGTCAACGCGATTTTAATATTTCCACTCTTACAAATAACTGAATAAAAACCTCGCACCATAACCTCCTTTAAATTTATATTATTATTATTTATTAACATCCTTGTCATTGTTGTTACAATCAATCAATAATTTTCCTTCTTTGAGATAACATTAATAGTTTTTTTTTTAAAAACAAACTTGTTATTTCTTAAAAGTATTAACTAGTTAAAATTATACTAGTAGATAGGTAGAGCATATTCTTTTTCTGATGCAAGATTACATTGTAATTCTTACTATCTAAAATATGAATAAAATATTTAAGATTTGTTTCTTTCTTGAACTAATTTTTTTAGTGCAAATCCTTGATGATGAGGTATGAGTATAAGATGCTATAGGTGGAAACACATGTTTTCATTTTCTTGCTATAACAACTATCTTCTGGATGATCTTTTTAATGTTTTTGTTAGCCGCTTCAACAATCTCATTTATTTTAAGTCTGTAAGGAGACGAATTGTAATAGCAATCTTGAATTCTTCACAAAGTTCAGTCATCATCTTGTTATTCAGATTTGAAACGTTGTCAGTGATAATCCTGCTTGGCACGCCATACCGACATATAAGATTGTTCTTGGCAAAGTGTACTACCGCCTACTTGGTGACGTTAGCATAGGAAGCTGCTTTCACCCACTTGGTGAAGTAATCAATTGCCACCAAGATGAAACAATGTTCATTCGATGCCTTGTGTTCAATCATTCCAATCATATCAATATCTCACATAGAAAAAGGCTACGGGGGAGAAATAACATTGAAAAGCGTTGGAGGCACATGAATCTTATCAGCATAAATCTGACACTTATGGCACTTCTTCGCAAATTTGTAACAATCATATTCCGTTGTCAGTCAATAGTAACCTGCCATAAGCATCTTATTTACCATCGAATGTCCATTGACATGGGTACTAAAGAAACCTTCATAGATCTCACGCATCAACATGTATGCTTCGTGTCTATCCACGCATCTGAGCAAGATTATGTCATAATTTCTTGGGTATAACACATCTTCATTGAGGAAAAATATACCTGCCAACCTTCTCAATATCTTTCTATCTTTGTTCGACGCACCAAGCATGTATTCGTGAGTCTGGAGTAAGTGTTTAATATCATAATACCAAGGTTTTTCGTATGACGTTCCCTCTATCGCAAACAAATGAGTTGGCCTATCCAGACGTCAAACTGTGATTTGAGGTACATTGTTCCAAGCATTTACTTGGTATATAGAAGCCAAAGTGGCTAAAGCATCTTCCATTAGATACTCATCTCTGGGAATATGATGGAATTCAACTTTATTGAAGAAAGGTAATAATCTTCTTGCATAATATTTGTAGGGAATCAAACCAATGTGACAAGTATCTCATTCTCCTTTAATCTGATTTATTACCAAAGTTGAATAGCCTTATACATCTAGAATTTTGATTTTGAGATCTATAGCCTCTTCAAGACCCATGATACAAGCTTCATACTCTGTCATATTATTGGTACAATCAAATGCTAACCTTGCAGTAAAAGGGATATGTGATCCAGGGGAGTGATAATCACAACACCAATTCTTTTTCCATAAGCATTTACATCTCCATTAAACACCATACCCCATCGGGTTTCAGAATCAGGACCTTCCTCAGGCAAAGGTTCATCACAATCTTTTACTTTCAAATACATCACATCCTCATCGGGGAAATTATATTTAACATACTGATAATCATCAACTAGTTGGTGAGCAAGGTAATCTGCCAACTCACTACTTTTTATAGCCTTCTGAGTACGGTATTCAATATCATATTCAGACAACAATATTTTGCCAACGGAAATTCTTCCAGTAAGAGCAGACTTTTCAAAGATATACTTAATTGGGTCCATTTTGGAAATCAACCAAGTAGTATGATTCAACATATATTGCGGCAATCACTTTGCCGCCCAGACCAAAACACAATATGTTTTTACCAACATAGAATATCGTGACTCACAGTCAGTAAACTTCTTGCTGAGATAATAAATGGCATATTATTTCCTTCCCGTTTCATCTTGTTGTCCCAAAATACAGCCCATAGAATTATCTAACACAGTCAGATACATAATCAATGGTCTTCCTTCAACAGGAGGGAGCAAGATAGGAGGTTCAAGCATATACTCTTTAATGCTTTCAAATGCCCTTTGGCAATCGTCCATCCACACACAACCTTGATCTTTCTTTAACAGTTTGAAGATTGGTTCACATGTTGCAGTCGTATGGGAAATAAATCTGGAGATCGTCCAAGGAAGCCTCTAACTTGCTTTTGCAGTTCTTGGTGCAGGCATTTCTTGAATTGCTTTAACTTTATCAGGGTCGACTTCAATTCCTTTTTGGCTGACAATGAAACCTAGAAACTTTTTCGAACGAACACCAAAAGTACACTTATTTGGATTCAAGTGGAGATGATATTTTCTCAAACACTGAGACAACTTCAATAAATCTTTTATATGCCCTTCCTCAGTCTGAGATTTGGAAATCATATCATCAACATATACCTCAATTTCCTTATACATCAGATCATGGAATAGAGTTATCATAGCCCTTTAGTATATTGCACCAACGTTCTTCAACCCGAAGGGCATCACTCTGTAACAGAATGTTCTCCAGGGTGTGATAAACGTTGTTTTTTTCCATGTCCTCAAGGGCCATCTTAATTTGATTGTATTTGGAAAATCCATCCATGAACGAATATACTTTGAATTTTGTTATACTATCAACTAACATATCAATATGCGGCAATAGGAAATCATCTATCAGACTTGCTTGATTTAAATCTCTATAGTTGACCCACATGCGGACTTTTCCATCTTTCTTTGGTACTGGAACAATATTGGCAATTCACTGAGGGTATACTGATGTCACCAGAAAACCGGTATCAATTTGCTTCAAAACTTCTTCTTTAATTTTCACTGCCATGCCGGGGTGGGTTCTTCTGAGCTTTTGCTTGATCGATGGATATTCTGGCTTAAGCGACAAATAATGTTCCATAATATCAGTATCCAAACCAGGCATATATTGATAAGACCAAGCAAAGATATCCACTTACTCTTTCAACAATTCAATCAACCTTCTCTTCACATCGGAATGAAGTAGTGCCCCAATCTTGACTTCTTTCGGATCTTCCTATGAATCCAAGTTAATCATCTCTAATGGCTCCTTATACGGCTGAATGGTAGTTTCCTCATGCTCAAGAAACCGTGAAACCTCTTATGGTATTTTTGTCATATTCTTCTTCTTTAACCACATACACAGGATATTCAAAGTTTGGAGAGAATACAAGGTCATTGCACTCAAAGGGTTTTTCAATTAATATGCACATATGATTTATGATTGATTTTAGAAACTGACACATGTAACAAGTGGTTACGCAGATTTATTTACAATTATTATTTATTTCAAAAGGTTTTCTTATTACCATTTTCCAAGAAAAAACAGAAAATAAAGACATAATTTGGGAATCAAACAACTTTTATTAATGATCTTAAAAATCAAATCGAAAGATACGCCCATACAATGATTACTTTCACCTTGGACAGAGTGAAAGATTTTTTAAAAGACAAACAAAACAAAAAATTACTTTGAAATGTGAATGCAAGGAGGAACATTAATAGTGATTTAATTCTGGACTCTGACTCCATGCGTCATGAAGTTCGGAACCTCTTACTCTAATTCATCTTCGAGAATAATGTTGATCCTTGGAGTAGTGTGATGAAGATAGTCTGCACTGCAAAAGATGTCTTGATGTTTACTCAAAGCGGACTTCGGCTTCACAACTTCTTTCTTCATGGAGAAATCCAAACCAGTGTCATTCCTATTCACAGGAGGATTAATAATCTGCCCCCACACCTTGCTAGGGCCTTTCTTCACTACCTGTTATGCATTCTTAAATGAGGCGATAGAATTTTCATTCTTTCTTATATTGTCAATAGACAAAGCTTGGAACTGAGTTCCAATACCGGCTTCATCATCTTCTACAATGATAAAGGAATACAAATGAGATATCAACAGAGCTTGATCACCGTTCACAATGACTACATTCCCTTCACAAACAAATTTTAGCTTCTGGTGCAAGGTTGAAGTAACAACTCTTTCTTCATGGATCCATGGTCATCCCAATAAACATCTATAGGCGGGGACAATATCCATAACCTAAAAGGTAACATAGAATAAGTGTGGAACTATGTGAATAGGTAAATCTATTTCTCCGATGACAGACTTTCTCAAACCATCAAAAGCTTTCACTATAATGCCACTTTGGCGCTTGAGAGCTCCCTGGTAAATAAACTTCATAAGAGTACTTCTCGGTATAACATTCAAAGCAGATCCATTGTCAATCTGCACATTGGACAAATAGTCATTCTTACAATTCATGGAAATACAGAGAGCCAAGTTATAGTTTCTTCCTTCATCAGGCAACTCGTCATTACAAAAGCTCAGATTGTTACAAGATGTAATATTCCCCACAACACTGCTGAACTGACCCAAAGACATGTCACTTTCAACAAAAGTCTGATCCAATACTCTCATTAGAGATTCCCTATAAGCAGAAAAATTCATTAGCAAGGCTAGAATGGAAATCTTAGATGGAGTTTACAACAAATGATCCATAATCTTGTAATCACTCATCTTGATGATTTTCAACAAGTCATCCACACCCCTTTCCAAGGCAGCACCACTAGATTCTCCTATCATTTTCTTAGGTTCAATATTCTCAACAACCTTTTTATCATAATTAACATCTCCTCAAAAGGTAGGGGCGAAGACACGACCACTGTGGGTTACCCGACTAGCTCCAACAATATTCTCGATATGGGACAAAGGTTGAATAGGAATTTCCACACCATCTTCCAGGATAGTTGCATTTTACTTATAGGGCACAACTTTGTATGATTCTATGGGATATGACCAGGTAAATAAATAACCACGGGAGCAACAACAGGCTTGCTATGCTACTCAATCTCTACAGAAGCAGGAACACCAAAACACGGCAAACCGACATTCACCCTGTGATACGGTGGGAGAACTGACTTGGTTGTTTTGCGTTTGATCTCAAATGTTGTGGT